AGAGCGGTCTCTCTTGGCTGGGATAAAAGAATAGACGACCCCGAAGGGGTGATACACAAAATTGGAGCAATGTCAGGACTTTAACAGCATGAGACGGTGCAGCTCATACAGAATCTCAGACTGTAGTGTCTCAATATGCCTCTCTGGAGGGGAGAAAGAACGAAGCAGAATGTTCATGCTGAAGAGAAGCTGTAACCCGTCCAGTTTGCCCATGTCCTCTGTCTACAACTTGGGTCTAGAAAGAAGCTTTCTCGGTGACAAGTTGCCCGTCGATTTGCTATTTCAGCCGCCATCCGTTTCTGGCGTTGCAATCCACTGCTTTTGTGCAATTCACACGATAAGATTGAACGAGATGTTTTCTCCCAATCCCCACCTCAAAGCCAGCATAGTGTTGCTCTTCTGTCCTCCATTACTTGGCAACTCTACATGAAAGTCTTATCAAATGAGAGTCAAGTTTGTTCCATTTTTTAAAGTAAACAAGGAAAATATATTTACTAATTCTCCGCCCAAATGTCAGCTCTTTTTCCCATGCTTCATCTGTTGGCTAACCATCTTAATTCCTCCCATCTCGCGCAACCAAAGCAAGCCAGAACTTGTGGTGGCATCATCATGCTACTCTTTTACTTGAAGCAACTGGATTCTGGTCACCCTTAGTTGCATGAAGTGATGAATTCTGCCACAATCCTACAATTAGACCTGACAAAACCATTTAATTTCAAAAGCTCCTACCTTCCAAGAAGCTGTCCTCAGCCCGATTCTACTGGACTGCACTTCACCTTCCAACCCGTCCATGTCTCGTCAGCACTCATAGCCGAAATCAAACTCGGCTTAAAGTAGTATATGGGGCAAACAATTCATACTGTCACGATCAGGCCTCTCCCATATCACATTTATTCTGGAAGCAGAATACCGTTTGGAAATAAAGACTATGTGAAATGAAAAGGAAACTTTAGGTCTACTCATACAATTTTCATTCCTCCAGCACCTCGTCTGACCTAAACTGACTAGGAATCTGATTCAATATTGAATGATAGTTACGATTCCCATTTTGTGTGAAGAGAGATTCAGCGGCGAGATCGGCCTATGAATCTCTTCTTCAGGCACTTCCGTCACCTCAACAGTGCTAGCTCATGTGATTCATACCGGCCCTATTGTCCTTCGTTTTTGTTTAATTACCAATTTCTTCATTCATCCTCTTTGCTGCCCATCCTTACGCCCCTCCTAAATGCACATCTGCCCTGACCTACTCCGTTGCCGCGTCGTCCAGTGGGGCCGACCTGTTGGCCGTCAATGCTGATGGGAATATGCCTTACGACATCTGCGAGGACGATGAGACCCTCGACCAGATCGAGAGCGAAATGGCTGCTCGAGGTCAGTTGCCCAACCGAGTGGGATTTTCTGTCAACGCTTTTGGCATTCTTGCTTTCTCCCAATCATTGCAAGTGTTTACAATTGCAGTGTTTGTTGCGAAAAACAGTTGGGTTTCGAGGCATCGTGTGTTTCATTATTGTTGAGCTTACCTCCATTTCGAG